GATGATAGTGGAACGAAACGAAGAATCGAGCAGGCATACTGCATAGTGTCTAGTAAAATACACATAACCTTTCTCTCGCACTCCGCTTGGGATCCACAATATATTGTTGGAAAGCTATTTAAAAGGGCTACAACTTGCATGTTTTACGTCTTTTCCAATTCCCAACATTACAGGGTGAAAAGTGTGCGGCACGTGCGCGGCCGCGCACTAACCGCGCACTTGGGGCAGAATGGTGTGAAAAGTGTGCGACCAACTGCGCCGGCACACATCCAGGTGCGCGGACGCGCATGTCCAACTCCGTAAAAGTGTCCATTTTTGCTAAGAAAGGGTAGTTTCGTCTAGGATTTGTTTTGGGGCGGATTAAATAACCCAAAACACCATTTTTAAAGGAACTTTTGGACAGATTTCGACCTAGGGAGGCCAAGGAGGAGTTTGAAGAACACAAGCACAAGGATTTCATCATTCCTTCCTCACTCAAGATCCAGGTTTGGATTGTATATATGTTTTCCTCTACTTTTATTTCAATTGTGAAGAACTTCTCCATGTCTATGGAGTAGAACCTTTTGGGTTTTGATGGATTTGGTGTATAGATGGTTGTTTTTGGATTATAACTCTATTTTTATGTATTTGAATCATTTTTTGGAAGATTTAATTGTTGTATCTATATTCACTTGTTCTTGTAATCGAAAGAGGCATAACTTGTGATATATTTGCATTATAGTGTTAGTTGAGTTCATAGATTATTCTAAGTAATCGAAAGAAACTAGTTGAATCCTTGATTAAACCTAGTTAGGAGAATAATCGAAAGAGGTTCTCCTAAAGAACAATCCATTACGAATTCTTGCATACCTTCACTGAGCTTAAATTGGTTCATATTGTGAGGTTGAAACTTAATCGAGAGAGGAGGTTTTACTAAATATTTGTATTGATAATTAAGTGAATTCGAGAGACTCACTTGAACATTAGAAGTGAATTATCTAGAGTTAGATCCCGAACAATTATCTTTCACCTATCCTATCAACCCATACTTTCTTCCATTGATAATTCCATTGCTTACCTTTGTTGAGATTGTCATTAGTCAATAGTTGTAGATTCTTAGTTAATTGTAATTAGAATTTATATAAATCTCAATTGTTGATCCTCCTGGATAGAAATCGAGCTACGAACTATGATAATACTATTTAAATCCAATCCATGTGGATACGATAATTATACTATACTATTTTTGACTAGAGAGCACAATTTAAGTGTGTATTTTGCGCTCGACAAATTTTGGCGTCGTTTCCGGGGATTGGCAATCAATAGTGTTTGAAATAGTTTGTAGTGCTAATTCAGTAATTTTTTTGGTTTATTTATATTTTTTTTATTTTGTTCTTCACGTGTTTCTCCTCCGTATGCAGGAATAGGATAATTGAGTGGTGTATGACACGATCTTCTTGTAAACAAGTAATAACTTACAACTAGGAATTGGAAAAACACTTGCGGCAACTGAGAAAAGAGAAGGAGTTCACAGTAAGGTTTTGGGGGTAACCTTCAACCCAAGAGCACATCGCTAATAACGATGGCAGTGAGGTAGAGGCAACTACCAGGATAGCAGCTGAGGCAGCCCATAGAGCCCTTAGGAAACTGTGGAAGATAATAGGGGTCGAAGATTCAATCTAAATCTACCCTTGATTGAAGACCAGTTCAAGAATGTGCTACCAAGGCCTGGTAGAGCATTGGGTAACTATGCTAGACCAGTCTACAATCAAAGATTGTCAAGTGATAGACCACCTCCAATTGCAGCAAATAATTTCGAGTTGAAGCAATGTTTGCTTCAAACTATTCAAAACAGCTGCGTTTTCAGAGGGAAAATGAATAAAGATCCAAACACGCATCTGATGGACTTCGGGGAGATCATGAACACCTTTCAATACAATGGGATGTCACAAGATGCAGTGTATTTAAAGGCATTTCCCTTTTCACTTAAAGATTATGCAAAGAAGTGGCTTCAAAGCTTGCAAAATGGATCAATTAGAACATGGGAGGAAATGACCAGAAAATTTCTTGATAAATATTTCTCCTCAGCCAAGACGAGCAAGTTTAGAAGAGAAATCCATAACTTCTGCCAGAAAGAGAGTGAAACTATTTTTGAAGCATGGTGGAGTTTTAAGGAGATAGTTTAAAGTCAACGTGGTGGAATTGAACTCTGGATGCAACTCCAAAATTTTTGGGATGCATTGACACCAACCTCGCGTAGAACATTAAGCAATGCAGTTGGAGGCCCCTTTATGAAGAAGACTCCAGAGGATATAGTTACAATTCTTGATGAGTTATCTGAAGATGCTAATCAATGACCCTCTGATAGTGTGGAAAGAAGAAAATCAACTGGTGTTCACCAAGTTGATGCCACTACATCTACGCAAGTACAACTTGATGCTATGTCTAAAGAAATAAGAAAGCTAATTATAGCTTCGATGCAGAATGTACACCACACAGCTTGCAATATATATGTGGAAGAGGACACCCTACCCATGAGTGTCAAGCCTCAACTGAGGAAGTGAATGTTGTAGGAAACTATAATGCAGTATGTCAGAGGCACCCCGGCTTTTCATAGATTTCACCTGGGGGGTACTGCAAATGCATGGCAACAAAACAACCCCAGATTCCAGGAACACGGAGCTACAGGTTTTCAAAATTAGCAGAGGCGGCAGTATCAATCTCCGCAGTCGAATCAATCCAGCATGGAAGATCTAATGAAGACCTTCATTATCAAGACAGATGAGAGGCTTGATGCCCATGATGCAGCTATCAAAGAATTGAGTACATCTTTTTGAAGACTAGAAAAACAGGTTGGGCACGTAGCTACTCTAATGTCGGAGAGATACCCAGGAACACTTCCCATTGATACTGAGAGAAATCCCAAAGAAACAGTGAATGTTGTAACTCTGAGAAGTGGGCAAGTGTTGAAAGATCCCAACCCGATCCAAAATGAGGTGGACTTTGAAAAAGAAAGTGGGAAGCAGTTGAAGGGTGATGTTGATAAAAAGAATAGAGGCTTGATGAAAACTGAGAAAAAGAAGGATGAACAATCAAGAAGGGAGGAAAATGATGAGAGCAAGCATATGCATGTGCTGCCATTTCCCCAAAAGCTAACTCGAGAAAAGCTGGACAAGCAGTTCGAGAGATTTCTAGATGTACTCAAACTGGTTCATGTAAACTTGCCATTCATAAAGGTGCTCTCACAAATGCCATCTTATGCAAAATTCTTGAAGGAGATCCTCACAAAGAAAATAAAGATAGAAGAGACAAAAATGGTCAAGCTCACAGAGCATTGCAGCGCAATCTTGCAAAATAAACTCCCACAAAAGTGTGGAGATCTAGGGAGTTTTACTATACCTTGCTCTTTATACACTCTTAATTTTGATAAATCTTTATATGATTCCGGTGCCTTAATTAATTTAGGCCCTTGTTTATTTATAGGAAGCTAGAGCATGCGATTAAAGAGATAAGGTCGCACCAATTTCCTTGCAGCTGGCTGACCAAACAACTTTGATATCTGAGGGGATAGTTGAAGATGTTTTAGTTCAGGTAGATAAGTTTGTATTTCCTGTAGACTTCATTGTGGTAAAGATGGAGGAGAACAAAGAGATCCCCTTTATTTTAGGAAGACCATTCTTAGCGACGGGCACAACAATATTAGACATATACATGATATAAGCTCATGCTTAGAGTGGGTGAATTATCTAGAGTTAGATCCTGAATAATTATCTTGCACCTATCCTATCAACCCATATTTTCTTCCATTGATAAATTCATTGCTTACCTTTGTTGAGATTGTCATTAGTCAATAGTTGTAGATTCTTAGTTAATTGTAATTAGAATTTATACAAACCTCAACTGTAGATCCTCCTGGATATCAATCGAGCTTGATAATACTGTTTAAACCCAATCCCTGTGGATACGATAATTATACTATACTATTTTTAACTAGCGAGAATAATTTAAGTGTGTGTTTTGCACTCGTCAGCCTCCATTATGTCCTCTACCATATCTGTGAAGATGGCCATCATGCACCTTTGAAATGTGGCGGGTGCATTATATAGGCCAAATGGCATTCTCCGAAAAGCGTAAATGCCATATGGACAGGTGAATGACATTTTCTCTCAATCTTCCGAAGTAATAGATATCTGATTATACCCTGAATATCCATCCAAGAAGAAGAAATGGGACCTCCCTGCCAATCTATCTAGCATTTGATCAATGAATGGCAAGGGAAAATGGTCTTTTCGGGTGGCCTTGTTCAATCTTCTGTAATCCATACAAATTCGCCATCTTGTGACTATTCTCATTGAGATCAACACATTGTTTTAGTTTTGCACAACAGTCATCCCACCTTCCTTTGGCACACACTAAACTGTGCTAAACCAATTGCTATCAGAAATGGGAAAAATAATTCTCACATCTAACCACTTGAATAGTTCCTTCTTTAAAACTTCTTTTATGTTAGGGTTCAGCATTCTTTGATGTTCTCTGGAAGGTTTGTGCTCATCTTCCAGTAGAATCTTATGCATACAGAAGGCCGGGTTGACACCCTTAATGTCTGTGATGGTCTAACCGATTGCAGTCTTGCACTCTTTCAACACCTACAAAAGTTATTCTACATGCACATCTAACAAACCAAATGAGATAATAATAGGTAAAGTCGAGTTAGGTCCCAAGAAATCATACCTGAGGTGAGATGGTAGTGGTTTCAGCTCCAATTGTGGTAGCGCTTTGATCGATGGCTTGGCCGGGGTGGTCTTTCTTTCTTCAGAGTGTAAAGGCCCAAATTCAAGCTCTCTTTTCCAGTACCCTTTCCCTTGAAGAGCTAACACTCATTCCGCCAAGTCTTCACCATTTACTTCTTCTAAGTTCATGAGGCATGCTGTTAGAGGGTCTTTTGCATTAAGTGCCTCATTATCTTCCTCCATGATCATATCCACTACATCTATCAAAGAGCAATTTGTAAACTCATTGGGTCACTGCATAGACTTTTGCACATTAAATGTTACTTCTTCATTATTCAGTCTCATCTTCAGCTCCCCCGTTTCACAATCAATCAGTGCTCTTCCTGTGTCCAAGAACGACCTTCCCAAAATTATGGGAATCTCCTCATCAACCTGGCAGTTTAAAATGATAAAATCTACTGGAAACACGAATTTTCCAACTTGCACAAGTGCGTTGTCAAGTATACCTGATGGCCTTTTTACCGTTCGATCAGCTGATTGTAGTAACATGGATGCGAGCCTTGCTCTTTCATTTCCTAACTTTTTATAGATAGACAATGGCATCAAATTTATGTTTGCTCCCAAATCACACAACGTTTTGGCAATTGCATAGATACCTATGGTGCATGGAATTGTGAAGCTTCCCGAGTCGGATAGCTTCACGGCTATAGGTATTCTCATAATAGCACTACAGGTTTGTGTCAAGGTGACAGTTGCCAAGTCTTGAAAGTCGAACTTACGAGACATCAAGTCCTTCATCATTTTTGCATAACTGGGCATCTCCCTCAAAGCATCAATTAGAGGAATGTTTACCTGAATTTGCTTCAGCATTTCCATGAATATTTTGTACTGCTCATCCTTCTGATATTTGGCCAACCTCTGCGGGAAGGGTGCTGGAGCTTACTTCTTTTCTGCGGCTTGAGTTAGATCTTGCTTAGACACTTTTTCTAATGCCTTCCCCTGTACTTTCTCAGTCTCTTCTGCAACCTCTTTTTCCTTGTTTATTTCCTCCTGCGCTGGCTGCACTCTCACTTTTGTTAGCTCAGTTGATTCATCTACCTCAATTGGCACTGACACAAGTGTTTCAGTTGATCGGTTCTCACGAGTAATTTCTTGCTCAAAATCAAGATCCCTACCATTTCTCAAACTCACCGCCATAGGCTGATTCGGGCCCTGGTCCTTCGGATTGACATGTGTGTCTGCAAGTAAAGTTCCTTGGGGATGATTTTTCAGAGCCATAGATACCTGCCCTAATTGAATCTCAATGCCTTTTATCGCTGACTCATGTGCTGCCACCTTCTCTCACAATTTTCCATTAGACCTAATCAGTTGTTGAAGCATTCATTTAATTTCAGACGTCTCATCATCTTGTCTCTCTAGCTGTTGTTGTTGAGGCTGTTGATAAGCTAGTTGCGGATTTTGCTGACTGTATGCATGTTGGCTTTGGTAAGGCACTACTTGACCTTGTGGTCACATAACTCCAAGATTGTTGGGGTTATTGTATTGTTTTTGTGCTGGTCTATACTGCTAATTTTGTTGCTCCCAATTCTGACCACCTTGCCTTTGGCCTCCATAGTTGCCCACATAGTTCATATTCTCCTGATAGTTTTGGTTGTCATTTTCACCACTCCACGAGCATACGTATGGTTGGTTACTGCATGGTGTACATAATCCCCCATTAGTCGTGTCAACTATGTGTACCTGCTTCTGGCCTGATTCATCTATCTTCTTGGTAAGGATACTCATTTGCATCATCAGAGTATCCATATTCTCAGCTATGGAGTTGTTAGGGTCCAATGCTACTGAGTGAACTATAGGGTGATTGTAGTGTCTCTTGTCATCCAGCCTGAGTTTTGAGCCATTTTATTTAGCAGGACCTTACATTCTCTAAATGACTTGTTAAAAAATGCTCCACCTACTGAAGCATCAACATTAGCCTTCAAGTTATCCGCTAATCCCATGTAAAACCATTGTCCCAACATCTGATCTGGAATGCCATGATGTGGACACTTAACCGGCATACTTTGAACCTCTCCCGCATTTCTTGTAATGTTTCAACTGGTTTCTGCCGGAAGCTCAATATTTCATCAACTTGCTTGGCGGTCTTATTGGGTGGGTAGAACTTATTCAAAACCTGCTTGACTAATTCTTCCTAAGTGGTGATGGAATTTATGGGGAGCAAATTAAGTCAAGTCTGGGCTTCTCCCGTCACTGAGAATGAAAACAACAACAGTCTTATTGCTTCCAGTGTCACATTCGGTTGCCTTTGCATGACACAAATTGACAGAAAAATTTTCAGATGTTGATGTGAATCTTCAATGTAAGACCTGGAGAATAGTCCATTATTTTGCAGCAGATGTAGCATGTTGTTTGTGATTTGAAATGACTCCGCTTGTATCTGAGGGACTGCAATTGCAGTTGCCAAATTATCGACGATGGGTCGTGCCCAATCATACAAAGCTGCTTCTAGCACAAGAGGTGCCACACACTGATTGTTCGCGTCATTCACATTGTTTCGATTGTTTTGATTATCCAAAGCATCACTCATGTCTGGTTCAATTTGTTCTCTTGGGTAATGATGTTGTGTGTCCTTCTTGTTTGCACGATTTAATGCCTTGAAAGCTTTCTCAGGATCCGGTAATGCTTCAAACAATTCACCAGTTCTTGAAGAGTTTCTTGGCATACACCTATAACACACAAGACCACAAATGTTAGAATTTCAATGTAATGAATAAAAATGGAGAAAATTGACTAAAGTAAGAATCCTAACAATTCTTATAGTTATAATTACTAACATTGTTGCTTTCTCCAACAACGACGCCAAAATTTGATCACGCCCAACTATGCCTCCTAAGAGGTCTAGCGGTCGTTGCAAATATAATCCGATTTACAAGTCCGGAGTCCAATCCCACAGGGAAATAATACACTAATTATAACCAATAGTTTTGCATGAATTCAAGTAATCAACCTTCAGAAATATTATATAACAATTTGAGAGTTTACTAACTAAGATCAAAGTAATTAAAAATGCAGTAATTTATAACTAACAAAGCAAATATTGTAGACAAGATTTGGAAAAGTCTAAGGTTATGACTTCCCCTAATGTCGGAATCTTTTCCACTATGTTTTTTATGAATTTGCCGAAATATTCTCTACCAATCGTGAGTACTTTGATTGTCGTAGCTATCTCTAGAGCAACTAACATAATTTACTAGACGTATTCTCTCGAACTACGCTAGCTGGCATTAATTTACCACTCACTACGATCGCACCAAGACTTCGGTATCTCTAATCCCGCCTTTAAACCCTCCGTATTGATATCTCAACTACGTTAGGAGTGGTGTTGTTCAACAACTACCTAAATATGTACTCTCTCTCTCTCTCTCTCTCTCTCTCTCTCTCTCTTACACACACACACACAATATACATACTAAATAGGCACAGTTAATTAAGAGCTCTTCAATTAACAACAATGAAAATGTAGTTGAACAAGCAGAGAAAAATCAAAGGCATATCTTTATTAAACGCAGTAGAAAATCATCCTCCAATAGGTTCCATCAAACCTTAAATAAGGTAGTTTAGCTACTCACAAATACAACAACAATTAACATAATGTTCAGAGACATTAAACTACAAAGTAAAAAGATAAAGAAAGGAAAAACTCGTTTAATACTTGCTTCACAGTGCTTGGCAGCCTTATTTTTCTCCAAAATCATGTCCAACCCTAGAATAACTTGTTTGGGGAGTATTTATGTCAATCCCCCGGTCCAAATTTGGGTTTGGGTCTTTTAACCCGCGACTTTTAATTATCATGCTATAGACCTCGCGAAGCCTGGTTTGCAGCGCAGTCGACCTAGCTATAGACCTCACGAAGCCTGGTCTATACCGCAGTCGACCAGGCTATAGACCTCGGGAAGTCAGGTCTATAGCGCAGTCAACCTGGCTATAGACCTCGCGAAGCCTGGTCTATAGCACGGTCGATCTAGATATAGACCTCTCTAAGCCTGGTCTATAGCAAGGTCAACCTACCTATAGACCTCGCAAAGCCTGGTCTGTAGCACGGTTTGGATATTTGATGCTTTTGGCTCTTTTCTTGCGTTTTTGTCCATATTTTGTGCAACTTTCATTCGATGATTCATTCCGATATTCCTACACATAAAACAACACAATTTAACGCAATTGTAGCACAATAACTCACAAAACCAACAACATATAGGGCGTGTAATATGCTAAAAGTATAGCATTTTGGCCTAACATCAATTGTACTCGATATTGTTATGTTTATTTGCTTAATAGTAAGTATGAAGCAATTGAAGCATTTAAGAAATATAAGAATGAAGTGGACAATCAATTGAATAAAAAAATCAAAATGATTAGAAATGATAGGGGAGGAGAATATGAATCTCTATTTGCAGAAATATGTTCGGAATATAGATTTATCCATCAAACTACTGCCCCCTACACACCTCAATCCAATGGAATTGCGGAAAGGAAAAAACGAAAATTAAAGGAAATGATGAATTCTTTATTAATAAGTTCCGGATCACCGCAAAATTTGTGGGGGGAAGCTATCCTTACAGCTAACCGAATACTCGACAGAGTACCCCACATCAAAACGCAATCTATTCCATATGAAAAATGGAAAGGAAAAAAATCCAACTTGAAATATTTTAAAATGTATGGGGGTCTAGCAAAGGTACAAGTACCTTTACCCAAAAGGGTAAAAATCAGACCAAAAACTGTGGATTGTGTTTCCATTGGATATGCTACAAACAGTAAAGCATGTCGATTTTTGGTTCATAAATCTGATAATCCCGAAATTCATGTTAATACGGTAATTGAATCAGATAATGCTGAATTCTTTGAAAGCATCTATCCGTATAAAACCGAATGTAAGTCATTAAGTGAAAGACCTAAACGACCACAGGAAGAACCAAAGGAAAATACTCCAAGTGAAGAAGATCCAAGGCGTAGCAAACGTCAAAGAACATCTACTTCCTTTGGGCCATATTTTGTGACATTCTTGCTTGAAAGTGAGCCTCAAACTTTCAAAGCAGCTATGTCATCTTCTGATTTAGCATTTTGGAAAGAGACAGTCAGTAGTAAGATTTATTCAATTTTGTATAATCATACATGGGATATGGTTGATCTTCCTCCAGGAAATAAACCTTTAGGTTCGAAATGGATCTTTAAACAGAAAATGAAAGTTGATAGAACTATTGACAAATATAAGGCAAGAATTATTGTCAAAGGTTATAGACAAAAGGAAGGCCTTAATTATTTAGACATTTACTCGCCAGTAACGAGGATAAGATCTATTAGGGTGTTAGTGGCACTGGTGTCCGTGTATGGTCTTGAAATCCATCAAATAGATGTTAAAATGGAGAATTGGAGGAAAAGATTTACATGGAACAACCTGAGTGTTTTGTGGTTCCGGGTAAAGAAAAGAAAGTGTGCAAACTGGTTAAGTCGATTTATGGATTTAAGCAAGCACCCAAACAATGGCATGCCAAATTTGACCAAACAATGTTGGCAAGTGAGTTTAAAATCAACGAGTGTGACAAATGTGTTTACATTAAAAACACTTCAGGTCATGAAGTCATTGTTTATTTATATGTTGATGACATGTTGATAATGAGCAAAAATATGGCAGATATAAATGCTACAAAGTGCATGTTGGTTAGCAAATTCGACATGAAAGACATAGGAGTTGCTTATGTGATCTTACGAATCAGAATTCACAAGACTCCATAAGGTCTAGCATTATCACAGTCTCACTACATTGAAAACGTACTTGACAAGTTCAAGTATTTAGATTTCAAGATTGACAAGACTCCAATTGACGTGAGTTATGCACTTTAAAAGAATGAAGGTGAAAGTGACTCACAACTGGACTATGAAAGAGTATTGGGAAGTTTGATGTATATCATGAATTATACGCGACCAGATTTAACATATGCTATTAGCAAACTGAGTGGGTTTACTAGTAATCCCAATCAAATACATTGGATAGCAATGAAGCGAGTTTTGGGGTATCTGAAACATACCCAAAATTATGCTTTGCATTATAACAAATATCCCTTCGTGATCATGGGATATAGTGATGCAAATTGGATCACTGGATCATCTGAAGTTAAATCCACGAGTGGATATGTTTTCACAATTGGGGGTGGAGCAGTGTCATGGAAATCATCCAAACAAACGTGCATCGCCCGTTCTATAATGGAATCTGAATTCATAGCTTTAGACAAGGTTGGTGAAGAAGCTGAATGGATCCGAAATTTCTTAGAAGATATTCCATTTTGGCCCAAACCTTTGGCACCTATATGTATATATTGTGATAGTCAAGCGGCAATAGGTGGGGCAGGGAGCGTTATGTATAATAGAAAATCTAGTCACATTTGACGGAGACACAATACCATTAGACAACTACTCTCCAGTGGTGTTATCACGATTAACTACGTAAAGTCAAGATATAACGTGTCAGGTCCACTTACAAAAGGCCTATCTAGAGAGGCAGTTGAAATATCATCGAAGGGAATGGGATTAAGGCCTAGGATAAGTCATCATGGTGGTAACTCTATCTAGAAGACTGGAGATCCCAAGAGCTAGATTCAAAGATATCAAGAAAAGTTATGAATGACCGTTCAACATTGTCAAATAACTCAACTCATTCTCGTGATGAAGACAATGTTCAGAAATCAGGGTAAAGCATTAAGGCTTTTTGATGAGTCAATAAAGCTTAAAGATTTTTAATGATTTGCTAAGTCTCGAAGGAAATGACCATATAGTGTGTCTATAGGATTACACATTTAGAAATCACATATGTGAGTGTGAAGTGTAAGCCGCTTCAAGGGGAGTGAATGTAAAGGCCCATTCTCTAAGCACTCATGAAACCAGGCGGTGTTCATGGCTAACACGAACACAACCGTGAGAACCATAGATGGTTAAGGGTTGATTGTATGACTTATGTTGTCTAGGTATACAACAAATTTCGACGGTTCAAAGATATCAAATCTAC